AAAGTATTTGGACAGAATATAAATTATGCTTTAAATGTGTTTAATATTTAGTTGGTCCTCCTTCCTTTTCAACCACAGCTCTCAGTCTGTTCCTGTAGCTGTCTACAAGTGCCTGGCATGATTTGGTGGGAATTTTAGCCCACTCTTCTGCAAAAACTTTCAATTCACTGAGGTTCTTTGGTTGCCTTTCATGAATCTGATTCTTCAGTGTTCTCCAAAGATTCTCTATTGGATTCATGTCTGGTGATTGGCTGGGCCATGTCAACATGTTGATGTTATTGTTTTGAAGCCATGCATGTGTTGCTTTGGCTGTATGTTTTGCATCATTGTCCTGTTGAAAAATCCAATCTGGTCCAAGTTCTAATTTCTCAACTGATGACTGCAAGCAATCTTCTAAAATCTGAATATATTTGGCTGCATTCATTGTGCCCTCAATAATTTTCAGTTGTCCCGTACCATTATATGAAAAGCATCCCCAAACCATAATGCTACCGTCTCTGTGCTTCACAGTGGGGATGGTGTTCTTTTGATTGAAGGCTGTTCCATCCTTTCTCCAAACATGGGTAGCATCGTTGTGGCCATAAAGTTCAATCTTGCTTTCATCACACCATAAAACTTGCTTATAATAGTCATCATGCTTTTGTAAATTAGTTTTGGCAAATTCAAGTCTGGATTTTAAATGACATTTTTTTAGCAATGGGGTTTTCCGAGGAAAGCAAGATTTTAATTGTTGTCGGTGAAGTTCAGAACTTATGGTCAGAGTCACAAAAGGGTCATTTTTTACTCGCCGTACTATTTTCCATGAACATTTTTGTGATATTTTGCGCAGTGTACCTGTTCTTGGCATATTTTCATGAGTACCGAAGGCTTTCCATTTCTTAATTATGTACCCAACAGTGTTCACAGGTAAACATAGGTCTTTAGAAATATTACGATAGCTTTTTTTTTCTTCATGTGCAGAAATAATTCGATCTTTAAGATCTTTCAACAGCTCTCTTTGCTTTGGCATCCTGTAGTACTGTTAGTGCGACGTCTTGAGATGAAATGACCATCAAGATAGCTAACACCTTAAGTAATGCACGTTGTAGACTATTCCATAAAATTCTAACACATTCAAGCATAAATATACTCAAAACATTAATTTTAAACATAATTTCAGAACTGTCCAAATACTTTTTTCACTACCTGTTATAATAATTTGTATATAATATATATATACGTGTCAAATAATTTATTTTTGCTGTTTATTTGCATTAATAATTGTTTTATGAATATATTGTGAGCTTTAGACAATGCTTTTCTTTCAGTATATGATTTTAAATCCATTTTTTTTTTGCTGTCCAAATACTTGTTTCACCTCACTGTATATGTGGAACAAGACATATATGTCATGAAAGGTTATGGTTCTTCACAACTCCCTATCCTTCATGGGTCTTAGTAGACTTTCTTCCTTTGCTAAACTTCCTCCATTCCACCATCCATTCACTATATATTTTAGGTGTAACAGCATGCAATAATTGTCCGTCCCACAAGATGTTTAATATCCCAAAAGACCATTAAACTAATTGAGTTTCTTTTTTCCAGGTTTTCAGATAAGACATTTAGCCATTATGTCATTATTTTCCTAAGAATCACTGAAAAACCTTTTTGAATTATTCAGCTAAAAAGAGAGTAGGTTAAAATTATTTTGTGTTGTACCAACTGTTTTCTCAATTGAGCAATGGTGAGAGGAAAAAGATCATTCAGGCCTTCAGTAATGGTACCAACATTCTTACTCTTGCTTCGATTTTCAAAGTCCATTCAATAACCATCAAGAGAACGTTGAATAAGTTTAAAAAGAAAGAAGGAACAATAGAGAGGAAAACTGGATCAGGAGGTCACTACAGGAAGAGGGATCATCATTTCAACTTAGAGAAGATCAATTAGAAAAGATCCAACTCAATTCATAAGATATTTGGCATGTAAAAGAGTATGATAATCAAAAGAGCAGTGAAAAAAAGACTTGAAAACAAAATTGTATATGAAACCTGTGAGGCACCTTGTTACTTCAGGATTGAAAATGAGAAGGTTAGAGGGGGTGAGATTATCTTGAATGAGTTGGGAAATGATCCTGGAATCATATATATATATATATATATATATATATATATACACGTGTGTGTGTATATATATATATATATATATATATATACACACATACACGTGTGTGTATATATGTATATGTGACAGGTTCAAGAATAATGCAATACTGAAGAGATGTAACATCATCACAAGCATTGAAACCATTCTAGCAAATATACAACTTAGGTGGGCTGGTCATGTTGTGAGAATAGATGAGCATAGGCTTCCAAAAAAGGTGCTGTATGGAGTTCAGTTGGGCGTAAACTCTTATGCTACAAAGACAACTTGAAGCATCTCAACCTCAGAACTCCAAGCATCAAACCAAAAGGAGACATGGTTAATTAAGTTAAAGGGTTTTGAAGACAGTATATTGAAGCACTGTGATCAGTTTTATCAAGCTTTGAAGCAGAGACATCATCAAAATCCTGCTTTAACAAATTTCATCTGTCATTGTTGTTTTGTCACCTGCAGCAAGACTAGGCTAATATCACCCTTAAGAAAACGAAAATGAAATATGTCTTTCCTTTACCTGATTTTCTCCACAATAGTCCCTGCTGGCATACATAAGTGTAAAATGAAAGGCACCATCCACTGCTGACCCTCATTTATCGTTCACAATAAGAGAGTCTATTATCATTATTATATATATAAAATTAACTATCATTTTCACTGCATGCGAACCACAATTTTAGCTTTTAATTTACACTACATTTTAATGTTTGTACCTTTTTAATGAGACATCAAACCTGATCTGTCTGCAAAACCACATTGCATCTTTTTAATATTTGTGCCCTCCAGAAACACTAAACATTTTCTCCTTCTGCAAGGCACATTGCATCTGGTTAATGTCCGAGCCTTCCATGAAACACAAAATCTGTCCTGCTTCTGCAAACCACATTGCATTTTAATGCTTGTGCATTCTGGGAAACACAAATTTTTTTTTGTTTCTGCAAACTACATCACTTCTTTCCAATTTTATTGCTTTCACTCAAACACCAAACCTGTTCTCTTTCTGCAAACCACATTGCATCTTTTGCGCTCTAAATGAGATACAGTATTCTTCTAAACTTAGATATCAGAAAGAAAAAATGCAGAAAAAAAAAAAATACTATAGCATGAGGTATCCGATGATTGCTTCTCACTCGTAAGATGTTGATTGAGGAAATTAAAATATTGTACACACTGACTAAAAAATGGGAAACACAAGGAAAAAAAAATACACCCATGTTAATAATATAGTGATTTTCTAAGCAAAGCTTAGATGTGGCATAAGGCCAAAAGTATGGGGCACCCAGTGAGGATCGAACTCACTACTCAGTCATAACTGATGTAGCAGGACAAGCTTTCTAACCATTACACCACATTGGGGTACCCCGTTAATAATATAGTAATATGAGTATATCTATAGACAGATCACACCAAGTCTTAATTGAATACTTAAAGATGTCTTGATTTAATATAAATTGTCTCAAGAACTTTCAACTGCTAGCCAGAATGTGATCTGTTCAAAATTAATACCATAGCCTATATATGACTATATGCTTGCAGTTTTAAGCAGATCCCATTCTGACTTACTTGAAAGTCCTTGAGACAATTTATATTAAATCAAGACAACCATATTTATGTAAATGAAAGGATTGATTCTGTGCATTTCACCTCAGAACACCATTATCTTTATACAAAGAAAGATAACTAGGAAAATTCTAAAAATGACTACCATATTGTTTTTAACAAGATCCCATAAGATTAAGATGGTCGTGATGGAGAAATTAGATAAATCAATGTCAAATTTAGGGCCAAGGTTATATAAACAGGAACTCCCTAGGACCAAAGACAGATGGAGAATCAGCCCAACAAGGAAAGTTGTCTGAGATTCACTCTGATCGCATTTCCCATGGCTGGAGAAAAAAAAAAAAAAAAAACAGAAACACATGACAGAAAAATGAGAATGGACAAGCTGGTTATTACTTTAGTGTTTGCAAATAGATATCTCAAAATCACCATCCAGCAGTAGAGTACTTGATTTAGAAGTAGGTAATAGAGACATTTTAATCAACCTGCTTTTTTTTTTCTTTCTATACAATAAACCTTTTGTCAGAGTTAATAACAGTGCTGTGCATTTTATTAAAGGAATTCTTATTCCAGCCTGACTCCTAAAGCTGTCCTTGGATGCAAAGAGACAAAAGCTACCATGGCCATAGGCTGAGAATTATGCATTCTTAACTATGATACATAACACACACAGAGGGGGTTAATACTAGACATTGCAGTCAATCCTTAATATCATAAGATTTTGGGAAACCCAAAATTAACCCTATCAAAATAACACATTAGGTATTACTTAACAAAGCTAGTGATGGAGAGGTTAAGCAAGAGAAAAGACAGAAATGGGAAAGTGGGTGAGTAGAGGGGTTGTAAGAGGTGTTGGTTGTGCAAAATATTTAAATTTTCTCGATCACACCTGAAGCGATAACCAGTTACCTCATTCTACAGTATTTTTTCTTTTCATATTGCCAGTTGCTGGAGTTGACATCTTCCACTTGTCTGTTTCAGTTATTTCCATTTTTATTGTATTAATCCTTTTTAAAGCGAGAGAAAGAGGGATGAAATACAAAAAAAAAGAAATTGAAAAATATTTTTTCTTGCAACAATATCTTTAATACAGAAAAAATAAATTTCTCTGATCATGAGGAAGAGAAGACTAAATTATGTATAACAATACAAGGCTTTCGTCACACGATTTTTGTGACTGTTACTTTACTGCTTGATGCTGTGTGAATGGTTGGTTTTCCAACTCTTAAAATTAACCTGTAACTATTATTAGACTATTCCTTTGGTCTCTTCTTTTCCACGTGTACAGTAATGCTTCTAACTGCTCATTACGGCTTACTGTAAGGTTTGTTGGGACCAATCTGCTTCTGCCGAAGACGGTAAAATTCTTGAAGTCTGGAAAGAAAAAATATAAGAAACTGATAAGAGGATGGAAGCTGTGAGGCACCCAATGAGGATGATATTAACTTAAACTTGGTTGATTGATTGATGAAATCATATTTTTTTTTACAGGTTATTTAAAGCCAGGAAATACTTTAGATTGTAAGAACCTTTTTTTTTTATAGATAGTAGGGAGTGGGGTAAGAGAAAAGGTTGATTCATACCTAATCCGAAATTAAATGTGGGTATAAAGTGGGGGATCAATTCTATTGGACATACTTCATTGTCATACACAGGACGTGGATGTAGTTTATCGCCATACTCGGGATGGAGTTGCATAATTACTGAACTCCTCAAATAATTGGTGCTGACACAGCAGCTGCATTTTTTTTAATGTTTTTAAATATTGATTCATTTGTTGTCAGTTCCGTTTTTTGGATCAAATTATGTTTAATTAGATCAGGAAAATGAAGGAAAAAATCTCATACCAAAGAATTTATTAATTCCTGGCTACTGACAAACTGTTTTTGCTTTATTTTCCAATGCATTCCTATATTAAAATAATTAGCAATGCACAGACATTACTCGTAAATATAGCATACTTTAAAACTATATTTTTATCATACATATATATGTTGTTATTATTAAGATGTAATAAACAGGGGCCTCTTACCGCAGACTGTTGATTTTGATGAAACCGCCAGCATGAATAGGGTCATAGTTACCTTGGACGTTCATGCTGAAAAGAAAAAAAAGGAAGAAAATCTTACAGCAGGTGATAGGAAATGAGTATCTTTCACTGTCGGGTTTGCATAGAGCCATCCATTCTACCACTCGAAAAAGCTCACCATCTGAATTGTGATGGTTGGGGACTATGCATTTTCATTTTCGCTGTCAGATCACAGGGTGACCAATGGCCAAGGAACAACTGGAAATCAAGTTAAAGTCAAGGAATAATAAAGTGGTCATGGAAAAGTAAGGAAAATTCTTACAAATTTATAAAACTTTGGGAATTTCTTGCCATTGAGTACCCTGTCATGTTTTAATCAATCAGTTACATTTTGAAGACAAATTGTAGAGACAAAATATAGTTTATCCACCTGAGGGCAGATACTACACTCTGATCACAGCCCAAGGGCAGGGTGAGAAGAAAAGTGGCCAGGAAACAACTGGAAATAAAGTTAAAATCAAGGAATAATAATTTGATCACGTGAAAGTCAGAAAATAACAGAAGCCAAGATGCCAGGTCAGGACCAATAATATTGTAGAGTCTTTGGATTTGGTTTGGAATCTTGAGATATATAACAAGAGTACCAAACCAAATGTAACAGCAGTATTCAATGCACAGACGAATGGTAGATTTATAAATATGTAAGATGGAGTCTGACAAGAAAATCTCTAAATAAAATTTGATAATTGGGTCATGTAAGGTAAGGTGGGTTAAATAAAAGTGATCACTTTTTAAGATTGTGTGAAGACTAACATTTTTCATCTGTAAATATACAGCAGGTTACCCCCCCCTCCACACACACTCAGCTTTCCACTGACTACAATTACCCCACTCTGAGTCTTGTCAATGTGCACTAAACTCTGGGAAATGCTTGTTGCAAGCTCAAAAAGAAATGGAAAATGAAAATAAACACCACAGCAAGAAAGATGAACTTGAACTCTATTTCCAATATAGCTTCACTTGCTCAGTCTGGGTGGATGGTAAGTGACACTTGGGACAACTTTGGCATCGTTAGGCTAACAGATCAGCTCTTCTCTTCAATTCTTCCTCCTATCAACTCTCTGCCTATGTAAACATCCCAACACAGCTGGCATTGGAACTACCCAAGGTCCTTTTTAATGGGCAGTCCAGAATTTAACTACTTCAGTCTCAACTATGACTGTTAATATATAC